TTTCTGATGAAGGGTCTAGGCCCGAAACGTCAGCCTTTCTGCTCCTATGATGCTGCTTGGCCTGTGTTCATCCAGCTCTGCACCTTGATGTCTCGAAAGACAGTTGAAGATTATTTTGCTCAAATTCTGAACATTTGTTGCTAAAGGTTCAAGATCTACAATCTGGAAGCATAGGTGTGCATTTGCCAAAGGTTTTATCTCCCAGGATTAAATTCTTATTGAACCTAAATATGGATCATTGACTGAGTGCAATCCTGGCGAGGCATCTGTGGCAGTGTCTCAGCCCGGTCTCTCAGCAGCGTCCCACCCCGGCATGGTGGTATCTTGGCATGTGAGGGTCCTGCCCTGGCATGGCCTGGTGGCACCAGGGGGAGATTGGGGAGGCAGCAGCTTCAGCAGGAGCAGCAGCGATGGCATCACAGCCCAACCCAGGGGGAGCGAACAGTGAGGGAGGTCCCTCCGGTATCTGGTGGCAGCAGCTAAGGTCTCAGAGAGCGAGATAAGCTTAGGACTCAAAGACTGCTGAACATTTAACTTAATTCTTTTATTTTTCTTGTTTAAATTAAAAAGGACTTTAATATTAACTGTTAGCTTATTTATTTTTCTACTTATTCTATGAAGATAATGCTTAACATTTTAACTCTTTTTTCCTACTACTTTGTACCTAAGTTTTTTTAATATCTAGGTACCTTTGTAGCTAAGATGGCGCCACGTATGACAATATTATACACTTTACACTGTACTTCTGTACATGAGTACACGTGACAATAAATCTAAGTCTTAACAGTCAAGGACAAATATGGAATCGTACTAAATAAAGACAGGTATTGGGAAGAAATCTGTTTTGCACAGTGGAAAAATCTATTTGGAATAATGTGCCTGAGTAGTAATAGAAAACAAACTGTTCTCAATGCTACAAAGTGAAGTAGATAGGCAGGTTTCTACTGGCCAAATGATCTTTCCTCAACCTCAATACCCCACAGATGAAGGAAAATCAAAATTGGAAAACTAGTGCTGGTACAGTTGGTTCACATGGAGATCATTTGGTTTCAACAATTTGTCTTTAGTGCAATTGGGGCAGATTTCAAATCAGCATCTTAAAAGGGAAGAGGTTACAGAAGGATGGTATTTTTAACAGTGTGAAATGATGCAGGCATGTTGAGAAAGATGAGAAGTGATAACCTTTGGCACCGTTACATTGATTGTCATTTATGACTTTGACAAAAGGTTTCAGTGGTGCGGTAGAAACAGAAACCAGGTTAGAGGAATTTAAACATGAAGTTCTACAAAAGATGGGATCAGATTTGGAAGGCAACAAATACAATCAAGGACTTTGTAAAGGAAAGTGTACTTAGTTTTCAATTGGTTTCTGAAGAGAGGGGTGATAGCAGATTTGAAAAGCAGGAAGAACAGCCAAAGAGAGTTAATCATTTAGTGGGAATTGTGGGGGGGGGGGGGGGGGGGGGAAGAATCCGTTTCACAAACAAGAAGGGGTCAGAGTAAAAATGAACAATAAACAGAAAGGCACAACTTCAAGGCTAAAGTAACGACTGTCTGTGACAAAGTTGGTTTGGTGGGCTAGTGGAGAGGACAGATGCAGCAGATTGGATGAGCTCTATCTTAATGACAAAGAAGTCCCTTAATTCCTTACGAGTGCCACTAAAAGAAGCTGTAGAAAGGATAGTGAGAATAGTTTAAGATGATGGCTTCTAATAGGGAAATGATGCTTTGAATTTCAGGCTCATTCTGGAATTTACGGTTTTTGTGGATGAGAGCAGAACCAAATTATGCTTTTAAGATTCAGCCAGATCTGTAAGTGAATGGCTAAACCAGACATTTATCACATCTTTAAAAGTCTGTGTCCCTTAAGGAATGGAGAAGATGATCATTTATGGGAAGTGAGGGGCAGTGAAAACAACTAACAACTTTACTGAGAAATACAGTATCTAAAGTTGAAGTGTGACCTCAATTCAGCAAAAGCAGTTTGTGTAGCAAATCAAAAACTCAATCATACTGAAATTTTATGGCACGTTTTGCGACAGTATTTGTGCTCAGTGTTGTAAGACAAGCCTGTTAAGTACCCGATTCTGCAGTTCCAAATAATATCTGGTGCTTGAGAAGTGACAAAAGAAAACAAAACAGGAAAGGTGTCCCAATAGATGGTGAGAGTTGCAAGTGCACATGAAGTGATCATGAATGTGTGTTTACATGGAGAGAAATATTTAAATAAGCTAAGAGGTCAGTGAAAAGAGGAGAGAGAGCATGAAGAGATGAGATAAAGATTGAACCCACCCGGAGAGATATTCCCAAAAAAACCTTACCTGGTCTATATGGACTGAATCAGAAAGTGAAGGATAGGGAGAGAAGTACATGGATTGGAGGCTTTGCAGATAATTGCCTGTTGCTTTGTTAAGCAGTAAGTTCCAGTGAAGCCTTGAGTTGATATTTTATTCATTAACATTTGATTACAGTACTCCAGCAGAATTTTACCACATCCAATTAACCTTGAGATTATGTCCACTTTTAGTTTGCTCAATCACTGCCTGTAGGCAGTAAACAATTTCTTCCATTTAGTCACACTTTATGGACAATAGAAAAAAAGTTAACACAAAATACAGTTTTAGATATGGTCACAACAAATAACTATTTAAAGTGACTTGCAAATAAACCACTTGTACTCACCTAATATAGCACTATTCAATGCAGAGCACACAGGTTCTCTTTGCACTATGTCAAGTTGATATCCTACTGGACTGTTCCATGGATCAGAATAAGCAAGCAGGCTAAATGCATCCTAAAGTGTGCAAAGATATTAAAAATGTAAACAACTAATAAAAATTACTTCAAATGGAAGGCATTTCAAAAGAAGTTTGTCCAATTATATTAGATTTATTATTTTGAAAATTATAAACCTGAAAACAAAATCACACTTGAGCAACACACAAGCAAAAAAGGCACAAACTATGTTGATCTTAAACTTAATACTTATGAATAATCATAACTTTTGGAATTATAAAATGTATTAATTTTGAATTCTTGGATCTGACACCATCAATATTATGGAAGCCAAGTTGACAAATGCATGATTCAAATTGTTAAAACATATGTAAAGCACTAACTGGCATAGTTCTTACACACTAAGCTTTTAATTCCAAACCTCAACAACTAAAGCTGGACACAAACTGGAACTTCTAACTGCACCAGGTGCTAAGTTTTCAGAAATTGAGAGATTAATTCATTTGTACATCATAAAGGCAGGACAAAGTCTTAATCCTGCACAGTACAAAGATACTTTCCTCAGGACAACAGTATAAAAGCACTGTGTTCAGTTCCTTCAGATGTCTTCACAGCTGAAAGCATGCCAGCAGGCTAAGGTGCAGAGATTCCAAACTCAGGATAAACAGTCTGTTCTAGACTGTTTTTTGTTGTTTCGGCATTTAATAGTAAAGTTGTGCTTAAATGCAGATAAACTAAGTCAGAGTTAGCCAGTGTACTTTCTGCTTTTAATGGTGTGCTCTGAAGGGTTGTAGGTTTAAAATTATGTGAAGCACACTGGTTATTGCATAGCTATAACATAATTAAACATTACTCAGAAGTTTCCAATTAGTTCATCTCATAGATCTTTGTAAGCCTGATCAAATTGCTACGTCACAAAAGACTTCAGTTTCTGACTCAGTTTCATCATCTCAGTTATCTACTTGCATACCTATCTGAAGAGAAAACATTGTGCTGGATACAGTAAAACAGGGCTATATACTGAACAAACAGACTGAAAATACCAGAAAGAGCCCCTGGTAACCAAATACATGAAAAGACCCTGCAATAACATTCAAACGCAAATGTGGACTTCATTGTTGCATTCCTTCAATTCACTGGTGGTCTTTCTAAAACGATCTTACAAATTTTGGATACCTCATTTTCAGGTAGCTTGGACAGCATTTTGTGCTGTCACAAATTTTCCTCTCTATACAGGGTCTACTGGCGTATTTAGTTAACAATGGTACCATATGAACTATCAGTGAGTCTTAAAGAGGCTTATCAAGATCTAGTTTATTACACGATTGTAACTTGTACAAGTTACATCGGTAATTAAGTGGACTTAATGCAGTCTCCAACCTTGATACTTTTAGAACTATTACCTTACACTTCATTAGCACAGCCTACTACCTGCCTCCCCAAAAAAACACTTTTTTCCTACAGTTAGTATTTGTACATGTGATCTCCTAATTCTTCCAGAACACAGTCTTCAGACTTGGAAAACTGTTAAGTCTTTGTTTGGAAGATAGTTGACCCCAGTTCTGATCTTGACCTTGGTCAGTCTGACAACCATTACTCCATCTACTTCTACCTACTGATGACATTCAAGGAAGGTGTTGTTTCTTCTAAACTTGGTTGCTGATCTATTACTTCTCTGGCAATGAGTGCCACAGATTCACCATCCTCTGGCTAAAGAAATTCTTCCTCATCCCAGTTCTAGATGGTCGTCCCTTCACGGAGGTTGTGGCCTCAGATCCTAGTCTCTCCAACTAGTGGAAACATCTTCTCCACATCCACTCTATTCAGGCCTCTTAGTGTTCTCTAAGTTTCAGTAAGAACTGCCCTCAACCATTTAAACTTCACTGCATACAGACAGTGTCCTCAACCACTCCTCATATGACAAGCCCTTCATTCCCTGTATCATCTTAGTGAGGCTCTTTTGGATCCCCTCAAAGGCCAGCATGTCCTTCTTTGGATATGGGGTTCAAAACTGCTCACAATATTCCAAAACCTCAGCAATACATCTCTGCACTTGTATTCTAGCCTTCTTGAAATGGCATACATTAGCATTCATTCCAAGAAGGCTAACCCTGCATTTCCTTCCTAACTGCCAATGTAACCTGCATATTAACCTTAAGAGAATCCTGAACTAGGACTTTCAAATCTGTTTGTGCTTCAGATTTCTGAAGTTTTTCCCAATTTAGAAAATAGTCTACACCTCTATTCTTCCTACAAAAGTGTATAACTTTGCATAGTATTCCATTTCCAACTTCTTGGCCCATTCTCCGAGCCTCTAAGTCCTTGTGCAGCATCCCTGCTTTCTCAACATTATCTGTTACCCCACCTGTGTGTCATTTGTTTTACGCTTTCATAGGTGATCTCAATAGATTCTTTGCTCTTTCTGGGCTCTGCCACGAGTTTGGAAAGCTCACTGAAATCATCTATCAATTGCCTCATGACCAGCTGCACAATGGTTGCAAAAACAAAGTTGCTGGAAAAGCTCAGCAGGTCTGGCAGCATCTGTGAAGGAAAAAACAGAGTTAACGTTTCAGGTCCTGTGACCCTTCCTCAGCACAATGGTTGGGTGTTCTGGACCAGTCACTGCCTTGGAACTGCCTCAAGCTATGATGGGGTGAAGATGTGTGTATGCTCAAATGTGAGAAGTAATTATTGTGAATCGTGCATAAATTCTCAACAATCTTATGTCCTATTTTGCATTGTTGCTTGTAATATAGATATTTCCTAATCGACTTGAATAGACACATTATCTCAACTTCTAGCGCAAGTGAGACTTGAACCGGAGTCTCCTGGGCCAGAGGCACAGTCACTACTACTGCACCAGAGCCCATTCCTTGTAGTATGCCTTTGACATTGAGAACTATTTTACCTGGGCCACAGTTTCAGATCTGTAGGCTGTAGCTTTATTTCTTTTAGCCACGGTACTTAATCTGGTAAGACAGTGTCACTTGCCTGTATCAAGCTTAAAATTAGTAAGATGCCTGTTGATAAATATGTTTTGTCAAATTTCAGTCAGCTAAATCAACAAATTCTCCCAGGAATGCATGATATCTTTCCTAATGGTGGCTTGTACAAGTAGGCAAATGACATTTTGCTGCTCTGAAACTATTTCTGCACACCTTCTACAGGTGTCCTGCAGTTTTACAGATGCAGGTTTCTTTTGTCACAGCATTGCCTGTGAAGCATTTTTTTTTTTTTAAATTGTCATAACACTGGAGAGACTGTAAGTATCAGCTGTTTGGTTTATTGTTTGTATTGGCATGTCACAAGTGGCTTTAGTGTGTTTATACTTTATAGAACATATGGATTCTGCTACTATACTGTGGTAGAGCTGCTCTTCTCAGGATAGGACTGCGATCCTTCTTGGTTTCTGTTTCTAGCACAATTTAAATAGTTTCCTCCAAAATCAAGTTCTCTTTGCGCTGTAATAAATCTGAAACTTGTCAACAATTCTGTCCCAAGTGAATTCTGATTTCATAGCTTCACTGTCACTTTTTCCAAATCTCTAGACATTGTTAATAAAATTATCCATGGATTGCTCTGGATAATGAATTCTTTAGTTAAACCTTAGTCTTGAGAATTTTGTTTCTTCTAAGATTAAAGTAATTGTTGAAAGTTTGAAGTTCTTCAAACATGGCCATGCCTCCTTTCAGATTTGGGGTGACTAATAAAGTCATTAGCTGTTGGTCCTATTAAATACAAGGGTGCATTTATTTGTTCAGCTTATGATTTTATATTTAACTTTGAAGCAACTTATATTTGTCAGATACATTAGGGACACTTAAGCAACTCTTGGATAGGCACAAGAATGATAGTAAAACGTAGGGTATACAGGGAAGTTTGATCTGAGAGTAGGATAATAGGTCGGCACAATGTTGTGGGCCGAAGGGCCTGTACTGTGCTGTACTGTACTGTTCTATGTTTTAAGAATTACTTCCTCCAAGAAGTCCAATTTTGTGTTCAGTTTGGCCTTTCTCGGATGTTAAATCTTTATGGGGACTCTACTTATTCTGCCATGTCTTCTTCTAATAAAGCTACTGTAAATTTCACAATATCTAAATGCTGCTGCATATCAAGTTTTAAACCTTTTAATACTGCAGCGCCCTAGGCCCAATCATCTTCAGAGGCTAAGAATTCGGCAAATATAACTTACCTCCTGACTCACTAAAGCCTATCCACCATCTAAAAATCACAAATCAGGAGTGTGATGAAATATACTCCATTTGCCTAAATAAGTGCAGCTCCAGAAACAGTCAACAAGCTTGACACCATCCACAACAAAGCAGCCCGCTTGACTGACACCACATCCATTCCCTCCATCACAAATACTCAGTAGCAGCAGTGCATACTATTAACAAGGTGCACTGCAGAAATTCACCAAGACCCCTTAGATGGCACTTTCCAGACCGCATGATTACTTCCAATTAGAAGGACAAGGGCAGCAAATTATGGGAATACCACCACTTGCAAGTTCCCCTCCAAGTTACTCACCATCCCGACTTGGAAACATATCACCATTCCTTCAGTGTTGCTGGGTCAAAATCCTGGAACTCCCACCCCTAAGGGCACTGTGGGTCTTATCTAAAGCACATGGATGTAGTGGTTCAAGAAGGCACCTTACTGTTACCTTCTCAAGGGCAACTAAAGATGGGCAACAAATTCTGGCCAAGCTAGTGGCATTCTCACTGCATGAATTAAATTTTAAAAATGTCAAAAGCTGTTTTTAAGCTTTCTTGGGAAGATTTTTGCTTCTGTAAAATACCAATGCTACTGTTACTTTCTTCATTTTACAAGCCTTTAAACTGCAATATAGTAATGCTGCATTAAGTTCTGAATTACATTAATGCAGTTTATCATCTTTGAATAAAGCTTCCAATTCTACATTGGAGAAATACTGCATTGTAAAGCTTTCATTTCTGCTAAATAACAATATTGTATCTTTGCTCTGTTTATTGGGGGTCTTCCTGTTTGCAATTAAAACACTGGTTTCCTGTCTTCTCCAGCCAAGGTGAAGATTTCCTGCCTTTCTACGAACAAAAAAAGAGTTTGCCCACCTGCCACGGTCTAAAACACAATGCACACCCCACTCCATTTTTTCATTAAACATTCTGGTCACTGCTTTAATGATTCTTCCTTCCAAAATAGTGGTTAAAATGATCAATGTCATTCTCACATTCTTAGAAATCTTCTGTTTTCTGCTGCCAGACTATCATCTTTATCCTACAAATTGCCTTATTTTATATTATATCTGCTTCATGACATTGCCAATGTTGCCACACCTCTTGGTGTGCTCTTGCTATGCCGATGATGCTCATTGTGAATGGTGAATACACCTTTAACTTTTAGCTTTTGTAGTTTATTACATGATAGCAACAGGGGCAATTTACTTTGGCTATTTCAACTTTATTACTAAGACTAGCAGGAGACAACAATGACATTTCTGCCTCCATCAAGATGTCGAGCCTGATCCTATTTTCTCCGCCTGTGACTGTATGAGAATAGGTGAAGCTTAATGCAGTTGCCAACATTAATCCTTTCAGAACCATTACCTTGTCCAACAATGGTGTGAAACAATACAGGATTGCCAAACTATAGGCGAAATAGACCTGAATCCTATGCCTGCACATAGAAGCCTGTGCGCATAGTTGGACATTAAGAAACCAAAATTAATTTTGGTTCACATAATAATATCAGAGAGCCCAAGCACGATTGAGAGGGTCTCAGAACGTGAGCAATACAAAAAATTCCGTGCAGAAGTCTACCAAATAACTGATTTGGAGTCTGTAATGGAATAAAAATGCAGATAGCACAGGTGTACTAATTCTGTTTCTCCTAATAGTGTAGTACAGACAGAATGTATGGAAACTGATCCCAAAAAAGTAAATCAGACATGCCTCTGAGGCATTTTCAAACTGGAAAAAAAACACATCATCAGGAAAGCAAACAGATAATTGCAGTTTAATTAAATGACTTATCAAGATCTTGAAGTCATTGTTATTGAAATGGCCTGGTGTCCACCATTTTAAAAGATTGAGTGAAACAATTTACTGCTGAATGTTGTTGTTAATATGATTTCCCAATTAATTGAAGAAGAAAACATCATGACTAACAATTAGCTAGTTTCTTTAAAGCACTATGGATTATATATTCACCACTCTTTTGTGGAGGACATTCCAGTTTTTAGTAACCCTCCCCATCAAACTGTTTTTAAATCCTGTCTTTGCTCTTAATACTTAAAAATTATGTTATGCCTTCCAGCAAGTAATGATATTTGCGATCCCTACACCAGACAGATACGACCAAGATAATGGAATGCTTACAAATTTACATTCCTCTTGTCCGAGAAACATTTACTGAACGCTACTCATCATTTTCTGTCTTTTAACCAACTTCCTATCTATGTTACCACATTCCCTTTAATATCCTGTGCCTTAAGTGCACAAGCAGGCATCCTACATGGCACTAACACGTCAGCCTAGATTAAATGCTTAAACCCTGGAACACGGTTTGCATTATATTACCTAAAATGTCCGAGGAGATAAGGTTACTGCTGGAGTCAAATTGATTTGTGCTTTGCCTTCTATGAGATGAGTTTTTAAAATTAAATTTTAAAATGTACAAATTCTATGTTAAGCCCAAATGTGTATTACTTTGGTACCTGTAACATTTTCTTATTGGCTGTGTTTTTGCCACATTCTCTTCTCAGCTGCTCGCTCACGGTTTGCAGTTCGCGCCCAAAATGAATCATGCGTTCGATCGCTGCCTGGCTGCCACCACAAAGTTGCCGTCGTGATTGAGTCAAGTCTATTTCTGTCAAGAATCCATGAAAAAACATCAAACTAATTTGTTACATTAAAACAGGATAGCAGTCAGATGAGGAATAAAATTAAAAGCAACCAGCACACCTGAATCAGGAAATAGAGTTCTAAAGTTTACTAAGCACATTAGAAACATTTGGTTGGAAAGTCTAACCACGTAAACTAAAAGCTGAAACCTTATCTATATTTGTTCTTTTACTAAATAAAAAAGTGGCAGGTTAAAAAAGTAGATATCTTTTAACTTTGATCCATGTAAACTGCAGCTAATCACATGGACTTCCCTTCCACACAACCTACAAAAATTGTGTCTCGGATTTTGCTTGCCATTGAATTGATAATAGGTACAGGAGTGGACCAAGATCAGGCACTCAATTAGATCATGCCTGATGTGTATTTTAGCTCCACTTATCAACATTGTTAGATAGGTATGATGAAACAAAACATCTCTGATTTGTCCTTGTCATTTTGTTTCACAATTAAAAGAAGACACTGCTGTAATGAATTCTCCCTTTTACGTTACTTTCATCATATTTTGTTATACACAAAGAGAACCGGCATTCAAACTATTAAGCCAGAAAACACTTGTCGAGAACAATTAAAAGTAATGGTTTAAAAATGGAGTCTAGAATAATAAATATCATGGCTCATTTGCAACCAAACAGAAAATTAATAGGGTCACTGACTTGTCATAGACGATATAATTATTACAAACTAGTGAATATTTGAATAGGAATTGTAACAACCTCAAAAAAAAACACATAACCAGTTCCAAATATTTTACATTGTAATAGACTGAAACGCAAAGTGAAACCCCTGAAAAGTGTAAAATACAAGAATGGACATGCTTCAATACACATGCACAGCATGGGACACATGGGAATCCAACAGATAACCGTACATTTTTTGTTTAACAGACATACAGTACCAGAGAAACCACGTTTGGCCTGAAACTGTGTATGGGGTAGGGTGGGGTGGGGATCAAGAGTTGAAGTACAAGAACAAGTGGAGAGAACGGCTCGCTTCCTCTCTTCCCTACCTTGTCTGTTCTTGGGTGGCCTTTTGATGCATGTAACTTCACACAACAGTTGCTGTCATTACAAGTAAAGCCACAAGTAAAGATTCTGAATGAAAAGGGGACCTAGCCATTTCAAAAAGTTAAAACAAAAAGCGTTTGCATAAGTCATGTGACCCAATGTAATGTGGTCTAATATGAATTGATCAGACGACTCACAGGCAAATGTCATACGACATACTAGAGAACCGGTCAGATTACTGGGGGTGAGTGCATACAGCTTCAAACCAAAAATGAAAAGTGCCTAGTGAAGAGTTTGTGGATACAGACCACATATGTGCAAATCTTAAAGACCTGAAATACATTTCTTTTAAAAAAAAACTACTGTATCCCAGCATCAACTGAGGACACATCACAACTGCTACAAATATGGCAGAGCATCAGATGATAAAACTTCAGGGATACTTTCAACCAAAAAATGACAACGCTGCTCCACCACATCAAGTACTGATGCAGTAACAGCCTCCTATCCATATGAAAGCATTATAAACATCAGCAGAGGTTAATATTTTGGAGAGAGGTGGTCCAGGCCCAGTCTACAGAACACTCCACAATCACCCCAAAACCATCCTGATTTATAAAACACTCAACTGGAGTACTGCATTGTAGGAAGGCTAGGGTGGCACGGTGGCTCAGTAGTTAGCACTGCGGCCTCAGTGCCAGGAACCTGGGTTTGATTCCATCCTCGGGCGACTGTAAGTGTTGAGTTTGCACATTCTCCCTGTATCTGCGTGGGTTTCCTCCGGGTGCTCCGGTTTCCTCTCAGTCCAAAGATGTGCAGGCTAGGTGGATTGGCCATGCTAAATTGCTTGTGTTCAGGGACGTGTAGATTAGGTGGGTTATAGGGGGATACGTCTGTGTGGAATACTCTCAGGATCAGTGTGGACTTGTTGGGCCGAAGGGCCTGTTTCCACACTGTAGGGATTCTATGATCTGTGATGCGAAGGCATTAGACGGTGCAGAAAAAAAATTCAGGAGAATTATTACAAGTATGAGGAACTTCAGTTATAAAGATAGATTCAACAAGCTGGGACTGTTCTACTAGGAGAACAGAAGGCTGACATTCGATAGTGTGAACTGGATAGAGAAAGAGAAATTGTTTCCATTGGTGGAGGACCAAGAATCAGAGCCCACAGATTCAAGGTAAATCGATAAAAGAATCAGTGGCGATAGGAGGAAGAAAAAAAACTTACATGGACCAAATGGCAAGGATCTGGCATATGCTAACAGAGTGTGGAGGAGGTAAATTCATTCACAGTTTTCAAACTGATACTGAAAAAGGGAAATGACAGTAGATAAAATAGTCTTGCAAAGAGCCAGCACAGACAACTGGCTGAATGATCTCTGCCTGCACTATTACCATTCTGTGATTCTATTCTATGATTTGGCTAGAAATTATCTGGTACTGGGACCTTACAGCAGCCACCCTGTCCAATGTAGGAAGATAACGAAATAGAGATTCCTGGATATTCCTCTCTCAACAGAAGAGAACCTTGGGAACAGTAGTAATGTAGGGAAGTAACTAAACAGGAAACCAACTAAATGCATCCTGTTCTCAGGGCTCTGGAAATAGACAGACGAGCGATAAAAGAAAAAAAAACTCTTCAGGAGATACAGGGATTAGCAAAGACCACAGACGCTGGAAGTCAGTCGATAGAATGTGGAGCTGGAGGAGCACTGCAGGTCAGACAACATCCAAGGAGCAGGAAAGTCGACGTTTTGGGTTGGGACCCTTCATCAGGACATCAGTTGATTTTCCTGCTTTTGGATGCTGTCTGACCTGGTGTGCTCCTCCAGCTCCACATTTTATCAACTCTTCAGGAAATATATCCAGGATCTCAAGTGTACTACGTGTATGTGATCATTCTGAGATAAGGACACTTTAGAAAATTCCCTGAATGCCCAAGTTCTCAGTTTCATCATATTTCAGTAAAGCGATTGAGATACTGAAACCAAGTTCAGCAATGGATTGAAACACAACCCTTTTCAAGAGTCCTTTTTGTGTTGATTGTGAAAGTTGTAAGCAGAATAAAGTTAAACCTTCTCCATAAAAACCAAAAGAACTGCAGATGACGTATATCAGAGACTGCTGGAAAAGCTCAGCAGGTCTGGCAGCATGTGTGGAGAGAAATCAGAGTTAATGTTTCTGGTCAGGTGACCCTTCCACAGTTCTGAGGAAGGGTCACTCAGCCAGAAATGTTAACTCTGATTTGTCTCCACAGATGGTGCCAGGCCTGCTGAGCTTTTCCAGCAATTTTTGTTTTTGTCAAACTCTCTCAAACTGGCTTAGTGGTTGCTAATCCACCTCACCAAAAGACTTCAAAGATTTACAGTCACAGTGGCAGTGTAAAGTGGTGGGGAAAATGAAAGACAAAAGAAAACAAGCTGAGAGATTGAAGTAAAACATGTCTTTTTCTGTAAATGATTTGTATTTTATTGACAGAGACGCGATAAGTGAAAGCATTTACTGGCCATCTATTTTAATTTTAAGAAGTGATTAATGCTTACTCCCATCCTTGCTAGCATGTTCAGTTAGCAGTGCATTATGCTGCACACAATTCATCAGTGACTTCAAACAGCAAATTCAAAATAAGACAAAAAATGCTAGAAATGTACAGATCAGTTAATTTGTAACAAGGGAAGGCAAACGTAACTTTCTGGATGCAACCTTTATTCAGGGTAGAGTGTTCAGGCACAATATCTGCAATCAAAATCAACAAACTGCCTTTTCTAATTTGTAGAGTTAAGTATTCATACCCATATCAGTATCATTTTCATCCATTTCATGGTCATGCTTCGAACTGCCGTTAAGGAGGCCATTGGGTGAGGAGTCTGCCACCCCATTGGTGTAGTGCTCAGTCTCCATATCTATGTCGGTGCTACATAAGATAAAATAAATGACACAGTCATCATACATACAAAGAAAATTGCGCTCGGCTTTTTAAAATTTCCCCACAAACCAGTGTGAAGTAATTTTAAACAACATTGAAGTAATCAAACTATACTGAACTAAACTGGTTATTTCCCCACTATCCCTTTGCAAATATTTTTAGCCCCATTCTTTTATCTTCCCAACATTTGGGGATGATCAACTTCTTCTCAAATATACAATGCTTTCATCAAGGAACTAAACAAAAAAACACCCAGAAAAACAACTGATTTATTCAGATTTCACTCCTTCAGGGATTCCAGCTCACGAAACACACCGCATATGGCAGATTCTGCTAATCTATCATGCAATGGAAGGTTTATCTTGAAAGAAAAAAAACAAATCTCTTCATTCGCCTCCTCCATGCGCAAGAAGGCAGAAAATAATCTTAGGCATTTTAAAAATTCATTCTTAGGATGAATATATTGCCTATCCTCAAACGAGTTTGAGGAGCTGTATCCTGAAATGTTGTAATCCACATAGTGTAGATATACCCACTGCTAAGGGAGGAAGGTCCAAGATTTTAATTCAACATGGGTGAAGCAACGGCGATATTGTTCAAAGTCAGGGCCCTGCAGGAGAACAAGGATGGTGGTGTTCCCTTACACTTAACTGTCTCTGACCTATATGGTAAGAGACCCTGGGTTTGAAAGGTGCTATTAATGAAAGCAGAGAAATGAGTGCTGCAATGCATCTTGCAGATGGTACACATTGTGCACCTGTGGTGCACAAAGTTGGTATTTGGATCGCCAGTGGTATTGTTTTGACTTACATATCGTGTTTCTTGGCTGAATTTAGAGCTGCAATCAGCCAGGGAAGGAGTGCCTTCTATCACACTCCTGACTTGTGCCATGTACATGCAGGCAAGCTTCAAGGAATCAAGAGATGACAGATTTTCTATCCTGCTTTTGTCACTAGAGTACACATATGGCTGGATCAGTTCAGCTTCTGGTAAATGCTAACTCCAGAATGTTGATGGTAGGGATTTGGCGGTATTAATGCCATTGAACAGCATAGGAGATGGTTAGATTCTCTCATGTTGGAGATAGTCATTGCCTTCCACTGTTTGGTGTGGATGTTACTTGCCACACATCAACCCAAGCCTGATATTGCCCAGGTCTTGCTCCATGCAAACACAGAATGATTTAAAGTTTGGGTAGTTGTAAATATTGAACATTGAAATCATGAGTGAACACCACATATCTGATCTCACGTTGGAGGGAAGGTCATTAACAAAGCAGCTGAAGATGACTGGACCTAAAATACTGCCCTGAGGAACTCCTATAGCAATGAGCGTAGATGATTGGCCAACAACAACAACCACCACCACCACCACCATCTCCTTTGTGCTCTTAAAGACTAACCAGTGGCGGTACATTCCCCTCGCCCACCACAGGGGATAGCCCAACTACTGGAGAATGAATTGTTGAAATGCAAGTGCTGCTTGATAGTACTATCCTTCACTTTAGTGATAATCGATTATATCAATGCAGTGGTAATTAGCTGGATTGGATTAGCTATGCTTTCCAGCAATAGGATACATCTCACCAATTTTCCACAACTAGAATAGATGCTTGTGATGTAGCTGTATTGAAACAACTGAGCCATGGGATTGGCTAGGTCAAGAGCACATGTCTTCTGTGGTATAGCAGACATTGTCAGGACCCATAGCCTTTACTGTATGCAATGTCTTCAGTTGCTTCTCAAAGATATGAAAACTGAATTGAACTGGCTGAACATTGACTTTAATGTGGGGGCCTCAGGACGGATCAGCTACTTGCCACTTTGCTGAAATTCTTCAGCTTTTTCATTCAGCCTTGTCTTCTGCAATGATGTACTAAGCTCCAACATCATCGAGACTCTAGATTTCTTTACAGCTCCTTCCTCCATCAACTTTCAAGACTGGACATAATAGGACTGCAGAACTTTAACCTGATCCACTGGTCATGGGATTGCTTAGCTCTATCCACTGTTCAGCATTAATGCAGTTCTGTGTTGTAGCTTCAGCAGGTTGCCAACTCATCCTAGCTTCGCTCCGACACTCCAAACCAAATCAAGGTTTAGGCTTGGTGATACTGGTAGAGTGAGGAATGTGCTGGACCAAAAAGTTACAGCTTGTATACAATTCTGCTGCTGTGTTCCACAGCCTCGCAGAAAACTAGTTTTGAGCTGCTAGATCTGTTCCAAATATATTTCATTTGGTACTGTGGGAGTGCAACACAACAGGATAAGACAGTGTGTTATTAACTTTAGGATGTCTTACAGCACTAACAAAACTAACCATTAGGTACTCTACAAGAGATAATTTAGAAGTGTGATTATCACCTTTTTAAGGCATTTTGTCATCCAGATCAGTTCCAAGAGCTGACATGTTTTAACAATAATCTTCAGTACTGTAACTATTAGGAAATAGTCATGTTTTAACTATGCACGCCTGCCAGTAGTGATTCTAATTGTTAGAAAATATAAATGTGCTCAGAAGTAAAATATTTTGAGACTAGGGCAAGATGGAGTATGAAAAATATGTGAGCAGTTGAAGTCAACATGCTAGATTTAATACCAGGACAGCAATTATACAAGAAAAACAAACTGAAGAAAATAAAATTAAACTAAACCACTTACTTGTCTCTGCTACAGCTGTTTGATTGCTGAGATCTTGCAGCATTTAAACTATTTAGCTCGGATGTATTTAAACATGAGGCTGGGTGCTTGTGACTGCTAGATTGATGCCCTTTATTTGATATTATACCATTGCTACAATTATTTTCATAACCTGCCAAAATATGAAACATATTAACCTATAATGTGTCAGCTCAATTACTTTAATACAGAAGTATAAAAGTTGTAAAACACAATAAAAGGGGGAGGTACAAGAAAAGGGCTATGCATACATACTGTATGATTGATAACAACTTGAGTGACTGTAATTATCTTAATACCTTAGACAAATAAAAAACACAGCATTATTTTTACACAAACACACATTGTCAAAGCTTTCAAGAAACACCTGAAAATACCTGATGAGTAACAAAAGTTTTGATGCTTTACTGAAATCCACCATGAAGCATCATCTTCTAGATTCTTAGAACTTAGAAGTTTTAATTTAAAGCAGATTTCAGTATGGAAACCCTCAAGTGATTGATATTATGCAAGTAACTGCCTAACTGTACCGAAGCAAAAATGTTCTAGATGCTGAAAATTGGAATTAAAAGCAAAAGATGCCAGAAACACTGAACAAGTCTGGCAGCATTTATGGAGACAGAAACAGGAGCACTGTTTCAGATTAATGGCCATCCACCGGTCTACTTGTAACATGACAAAGGAATGGCCATCCATTTGTAGAGCAAGTGCAATTTAATTGCTTTGGTGAGGGTACCGTGAACAAAAGTTGATTTCTCTAATACACAGGATTTGGTGGCATTGTTGTTACATCACTGGACAGTAAACAAGCAAATCAGACCAAATGATACGGACACCTGACTTCAAACCCCACCATGGTAGCCTGCAAATTTAATTTAAATAAATTAAATCTGGACTAAAAGACTAGCATGAGTACTGGTGACCATGCACCTCCTGATCTGTGATAAAAATGCATCTCGCTCAGCAATGTCCTCACCTGGTCTGGCCTACATGAACTTCACATTCACACTTACACATCGCTGACTCTTAACTATCTTTTAAAGTGACTACCGAGCACTAAGGAATCTCATTACCTTGTCAAGGATATTTAGGGATGGGAAATAAATACTGGCTTTGGCAACAATGCCCATATTATACGACCAAATGTAATTGTAATTATTCAAATACAGCAAACATTTTATTAACCGGCACCTATGGGAGCGCAAGTGTGCTGGTTGATTAAATATTCCGGTTGATGTGGACCTCTTGATCAATGTAAAAACACACACTAAGTACTAGAAACGTAATGCAGTCGTACTTTACTTGCAGCATAAATCACTCAAATAATGCAATATTGCCTTCAATAAAAACTTGAGATTTGTCACTTGTTCCCTCAACTGACTGGTCAGACATGGCGGAGATCATGATAATACAATAAGCTTCTCGTGTTTCAGGTATATACTTTTTGCCTGTTCACGAGGTGCCAATTAAAACAAAATTTGCTGTAGTGATTTGCTGAAGGAGAGAGTACCAACACTGTGCATCACACAAATACCATACAACTTTAGGAACCACAAAATGTTTTAATCCAATATCCTATTGATTGGAAGTATCTCAAATTATTGGATACAACAGACCTTTAGTGTTAAAATTTCAGATTCAGGTATGCAATAGGTGCCCAAAGAATGCAAGGCCAGTAGCAAGTTAGGTAAAAAAAGGTTCATACAGACTTTTAGAACATGCAGAGGATATGGCAAAAATTGTAAAACTAATCCATCCACAAAATCAGCTAAAGGTGCTGCTCATGCACACTCTACAGCAATATTAAGTAAACGTATGAAGCTGCTTCACGTGATAACATTATATTTGTTATCCAAATGGAACCTAATTGAGAAATAATTAGGAGATAGCTGTGAACAGGTGGGATAATACTGAACCTACTTTTAAAAAGGCATAAGCAAGCATATGCAATATTCATAAATCCAAACATTTTCAACCCCTTGGGTTAACAAATCAGCCAATGAAGTGGAATTGCACGGTAGCAATAAGTAATTCATTCTCTTGAGAGTTGTGCCCTTTTAACATATGTTCTTCTTACTATTGTTCCCAGTTACCTCACCTTTGCAAGTGGGTTTTCCTTGTCCCATAATAAAACTGGAATTCCCACTGGCTGCACAAAGTCCAACCCAGAACAATTACATTAACAATGTGACCCCATTTTAACACCACCACCTTCTTACAGATAGGCAATTAGGCACAGGCAACAAAGGCTAGGCTTCCCAGGGATGCCCATGCATGCATATATATGGGGTGCTTTAACGGTTAGCACCGCTGCCTCACATGCCAGGGACCCAGGTTCCATTCCACCCTCAGGCGATTGTCTGTGTAGAAGTTTGAGCATTCTCCCTTTGTCTGTGTGGATTTCCGCTGGGTGCTCCAGTTTGCTCCCACTGTTCAGAGATTTGCAATTTAGATGGATTGGCCATGTTAAATTGCCTATAGTGTTCAGGCATGTGGAGGCTAAGTGGGCTAGCCATGAGAAATGCAGGATTACAGGGATAGAGTAGGGGGATGGGTCTGGATGGGATGCTGTTCGAAGGGTTGGTATGGACCCATTGGGCTGAATGGCCCATTTCCGTTCTGTAGGGATTCTATGATTCTATGCATATCTTATATGAAACCATTTTTATATATAAATATATTTATATATATATATATAAAAACTCAATGTGAACCCAAATGCCAGGAAAAAAAGCGAGAACAAAAATTATATTTTGTTTATATATTCATTCATGGGCATCACTGACAAGCCTTGGTTTCTAGCTTTCAAACTCTCCATAATCCATAATGACAGAAGGCTCAGCAAAGATCCTCCCGCTCCACACTTGCATATTGTGGACAGCTCCTCTCTGCCACCACACAGCCCTCTTCCCAACCATTATCACCAACTTGTCCCCCAAACATCTCTTGCATCAACCCTTCCGTCCCTTAACTCACACCCTCCAGGCATGCATCATTTAGTCCCCCCTCACTCACTCATGTCCTTCAGCCTCCACTCTGATCTTCGTGCCTATCTAACTCAGTCCCCTCTCATTCATGCCATCCCTTCCTATCTGCTGATGCCCTCTCTTCTTCAACATCCCTCTGCCTAAATTTCTCTGTCTTGGCTGGAATGGAAAGCAGCAATAATGATAATGAGCCCCAGTACCCATGCATCAATTCTTATTCTGTAATTCCACCTGGAATCCCAGCTACCAGACTGCTCATTCCAGAATTTAAATATGCCAATGTAACTGGGTCTAGTAATTTTCCAGGACTAAGTGACTAATGACTCCCCAGAGACCAAAGATTCCTCAGACTGTCATTGAACTCTTATAACATTTGATTCAGCAGGGCAGTCTGAACTTACTGTGCTGTACATAATAAGGAATACAAAAGTACAGTTTGGGTTCCCAGTAAAAAGTTTTCTAGTCCCAGTATTTCATTTGAATTACATGCATTTCAACTGAACTATTTCAAATTATCACAAACAGATATGGACCATCAAAAAATCAATTTTCACTGAAAATTTAGTATTTGAATTTCTGAAGAGATTTTAGCGTTTAAGATGCAAGAAGAATCAGGAAGAATGAACTTTCATATTTCTTAAGGTTAACCAGTTGTTAAATAAGGGGACTGTTGAGACAATTCGTGTTTTGGCACTTCATATACAAACAATCCTAAGTCACATCATCTTCACATATTCATAAGATTACCATCAGCAGGCCACATGGGTGTTACCAATGAAATAAGTTCTAGGCAGTCTCAAACTAGCTCTATTAAAAGCAATGGTCAGGAATACTTAATGATAATTTCAGTTAGACATGACAGGATTGTGATTATAGCAGGGAATGCTTTTCTAAGATTAGTCAATAGAAATATTTTGAATTGAGAATTTTCTTACATCTGGCTTTCCTAGATGTGACAGACGTGGCTGTAAAATTTGAAATGGTTCTCAATACACAAGTTTGAGACACAAAATGGCAAATAAAAAGCTACCTCAGGAAATGTTTAATATTTTGAACGCGAAGTGCCTATCAAAATTCATTCAGAATTATCAATGGAGAAGACATGATTAGGTAAAGTGGCAAAGCTGCATTGAGTTCATTGATCAGGGTGTTAGCCAGTACTTTCAAGGTGCTACCACTTCTCCATTATAGTTTGTTTTGTTAAATTAAAACTTCTTTTCCCCCCAACTGATTTACCCTATGCCACTGCTTCTTTCAGAGGAGATGTATCTCTCTTATGAATACTTTTGCAGCAGAACTGCTATGGAGTCAGCTCAGAAAACATTTAGAGCTCTTTTGTATTTCTCTGTAGTAAGCAGAGATCTGCAAGGTAGTTTTATAGAATATATTTCATTTGCTACATTGTTGTTTGAAGAGGAGATTCAAAATGATCGAAGTAAATGACAGAAGAGTTCACAATAAAAGATAGTGAACACTTGGCGGGGGGGACACTTCACGTTCAGTGGAATGAATAATAAAATGATAAAAATCACACCTAGATAATGAAGCGCTTTCCCCTAAGGCAAGAATTCACTAACTCTCCTGCAGCTATTGCAATACAAATAATTCAAATAAATGTATAGACACAGACTCATAAGAGGCAATGACTTAAGAGTTTACAAAAATGAACTATTACTACCATGATGGAGCACAGATATAATAACCTGGTCTGATATTCAAATATTGTTCATAAATCACAAGAAAATCTGCAATGTTCCAGTTGAGGGCTCTATAAATTATGATAGTTCACTTTCTCTGGATTATTCAGAAAGACAGTTCATGATTCATAATCATTAAACATTTCATTTAAACAATTTCAGTCCTTGGATTTCAAGCTTATTTCCCTTCATAACCAACACTGCTGATGCATCTCGCTGTGTACAACACATTTAACTGTTGCAGTTCTGAGAAAGAATGACGATGACCAATTCACTTTGGTTTTAAACAAAATACTGATTGTGTAATTGATCACACCATTTTTCATTTATTTCCGGGAAATTTCAGCTATGCCCAATACTTAGTGTCTTTCAACCTCAAGAAAAATATAAACCCGTAAAACTAGTTTTGCATTCCACCTTTACAAAAGGTACAATGCCCCCAAACAAAGTACTACAAAAAGGAAGAAATTGATGCAATTATTTTGGGTAAATAAGTTATTTGCAATATCATAGTGCAGATTAAACAATTTGTGTAAATTCTACAAGGGTCTAAGCTCCCATCTGCTACAATGTCAAGGCTAAATATAAATGGAGAGCACAATCACATGACTAGAACGTAACATGGCCTTATTCAATCTTTACCAAGGAAACACTGCAATATTTGTTTTTGTAATCGTGAATAATACAAAAAAATTTGCTACTGCATGATGATTCGCTCCAAGCCATTTACCTGTAAAGTGACTGTGTGCACCATTTCCTTTACATGCTGTTAGAACGTGGATATTGCTCCCATGGTTGGGACTCATGCTGGGACTGTTGAAGGCTCTAGGGCTGCCTGGGTAGCTGTCTTGTGACTTTGGACTTCGGCCTCCTAAACATCGCACTTCACTATCTGTCCCATTTACCATTTCTATAAATTGGCGGACTCTAGGATAAATTACAAAACAAATATTTCTCATTCTCTAAAAGCTCCAATCTATAGTTTACCAGAACGGTTAAAACAATAGCTTTGGTTGAGTTGATACAGTAAGCTTGGCACCTGAAAGACATGGTTTCTAGGGATAAAATGGAACATATACAACATGTTAACTTTTAGTATTTACCTCTTCAACACTTATCTTTAACCCAGATTCCAGTAACTAACAAAAACTGACAAAATTGGTCATATGTGGCAATCTTTATCAAACAAGCCACATGGACAAAAATATGCAGAATGAAAATTTCATGCAGTATAAACAAACACACAAACAAACAAACGTCATGTTACATTGTTGCTTACTTTAACATAAAAAGGAGGTTAGTTTTTCTTTCAAGTAGACCTGGATAGAGTTGCTGTGTTGTTTCAATTGCTTCTCCCATTCTTCCAGCTAGTACCAGTTTCTGAATTCCTAAAACAGTAAAAGGTACATTCACTGTAGCTACTCTCACCGAGAGTGGAATATAGAATAAAT